ATCAGTGTCATGATGTGATCGCCGGAAGTGCACCTGGTGTTCCTCGTATCAGTACATTTGCTGGTGCCTACCCCGTGAAATTTGTTCAAGCGGTGTTGAATACGATACCTCAGTTTCAGCTAGATCGATCCAAGGCCACCTCGTCATGTGAATGCATCGCTCATGTAGAAGTCATCAATGAAGAAGTCCCCGATGCGTCATGGACAGAGATCCTAGCCGCTGGACAGGTCCGAGGCCACTCTGACAGTGATCTGATTCCGGTTTTGGATAAGCCTCATAGGAACTTAGGTCATCCACCAATTCGCGATCTAGTCAGAATTCTTCGTCATGGACAGGCCAGTGAGCAAGCAATACGTTTGGCTAAGGAATTCTCGTGTGATTTGTGCCGGAGTCAGCTCAAACCAAAGGTGCCTCTGCCTGCGCAACCTCATCGGATCACAGAGTTCAACAGTCAAGTCGGTCTCGATGTTAAGCACTTAAAAGGTTAGTTACCTAACCAAAAGGTGAAGGCATTAAACATTGTCGATACTGCCAGCAGTTTTCAACGGGTGATTCCTTTCTTTGAAACAGAAACTGCAAGTGTTTTGAGGAAGTTGTTCACCGACAGTTGGATTTCGTGGGCTGGTGTTCCCAAAGAGATCGTTTTGGACCCTGCCAGAACAAACCTGGGAGATCCGATGGTAGTGCCTGCCGAGCTGGACGGTGTCCAGATCCGTCCGATTGCTGCTGGAGCCCACTGGCAATTGGGAAAGTGTGAAACTCATGGAGGCTGGTTCAACCGCGTTCTAGAGAAGTTGATTGACGAATTTTCTCCATCATCCAAAGAGGAATGGTTAGAATGTGTAGTGCATGCACACATCAAGAACCAACAGTTGCAGGTACATGGTTTTTCACCATACCAATTCGTGTTTGGTCGCAATCCGCATATTCCTCAGGACTTGCTGAATGAACCTCTCCAGGTCATCCCAGCAACAGCTTCCCTGACAGAAGCATCAATTGCCAGAGCTCAAGCTATTCGTACAGCTGCTCGTACGGCATTGGTTCAGATGCAAGACGATCGAGCCCTGCGGGTGGCTCTGCTGGCACGTCCCCAAGTGGAAATGACTTTCAATCCGGGTGATATGGTAGCCTATTGGCGAAACCAAAAGTGGGTTCAGGGTCAGCTCCAACAAGGGGGTCAGTGGTATGGAGTCGCCATCGTTCTCGGTCGAGTAGGTCGCAATGTCGTCATCATTCATCGACGACAAGTGCTGAGATGCGCTCCAGAGCAACTCCGTCTGGCTACTTATGAGGAGAAAACCCTGCTTGCATCGCCCCAAGCTGAATTGTTAGGTATCAAGGATTTGATTGATAGTGGTAACCTCCGAAGTAAACAGTATATAGACCTGTTGCCCCAATCTTATCCCCCACAAAAGGACCAGTCGAGCTAGTCGTACCGAGCCGGAGTCAAGCACTGTGGTAGCGCCGTCTCAAGTGAATGCACCACTCGTGCCTGAGCCGATGTCCACTTCAGCTGTGCCAGAAGACTCTCAAGAAGAGCAAGTGAAGGGTGATCAAGAAATGACAGAGATGAAATCTCCGACACCAGTAGAGGAGACTTCTGACACTCCAAGTTCCGCCGAAACTGCGGCACCGTCGTCCTATGGTCCCATTCGCCGCCGAATCGAAGGGAAGGATGGACCAATGGCACTGCGGCGGCCTCCTGCCTTGAAGCAAACAGATTTTGTTGACATCATGAAAGAGATAGTACCCCAACTTGTTGAAGATGCATGTATGTCACAAAACAAAAGACCGGCATCTCCGTCCGCCGATGAACCAGTGTCGTCGAGGCCTCGCATGGCAGAAGTGTTGAGTGTTGAAGATGTTGATTTCCTCCTCCAAGCACAAAGTGTGTCGTGGGATTGCCTGATGGCAGAATATCTCAAAAAGAAAATGAGCAAGGAACTGCACCACAGCAACAATCCTCCCGACATTCAGGAAAAGGTCCAGCTAGGCAAACGTGTGGAATGGGAAACGATTCTGTCCAAGCCTAATTCGGTAAAGATCCACTATGGAGCAAAAGCCGATCGCATTCGAAAAGAGGAAGACCATCGTTTCATAGGGAGTAGATTCGTGTTGACTCGAAAGCCGCTCGAAGAAGGTATGGATTTGGACCCAAATGACAGCACCACATTCACGGTAAAGGGCAGATGGTGTCTACAGGGGCACTTGGACCCGGATTTGTCTCAGAAGGCCGAACAGGGCCTGTTGAAGTCCCCTACCTTAAGTCAACTAGGCCGGATGTGTTTGTTTCAGACGATTGCATCAAAGGGCTGGGTACTTCAGTTAGGCGATATAAAGGCGCGTTCCTAGAGGCAGGTCCACTGAACGATGCATTTCGCCCACTCTACGCACGCCAACCACCTGGTGGCATCCCCGGCCTTCCTGAATCAGCAGTGATAGAAGTGCTCGGAAATATCTACGGACAGAACGACGCTCCGGCGTCCTGGTTCAAAGAATTTAGTTCGTATGTAAAGGGGTTGAACTGGTATCAGAGTGTTCTAGACCCGTGCCTGTTCACGCTTCGAGATGAAGCAGGAGCCTTGGTGGGGATCATGGGCGCGCACGTGGACGATACAGCAGTAGGTGGACATGGACCGGTTTTCGAGGCCTCAATCAAGAAACTTCGTACTAGATTCCCATATAGAAAATGGCGAATAAGCACAGGTGAGTTTTGTGGTGCCTGGTACTCCCAAACCAAAGATGGGGCAATTCGAATGGACATGAACGCTTTTGCCGACAAGATGCGATCAATCAATGTGCCAAAGAATAGTGCACCAGGTGATCCTTTGACCGACAGTCAAGTCAAAGTGCTGCGTGCCGTGAATGGCAGTCTCGGATGGTTGTCATCTCAGTCACGCCCGGACATCAGCGTCCAGACTAGTCTGTCCCAACAGGCCTTTCCAAAGCCGACGATCGAAGACTTTCGGATGGCAAATCAGGCGATCAGAAGAGCTAAACAGCATAGTGAGTTGGGAGTTGTGTTCAAATCAATTGACCCAGACCAACTGACACTGGTATGCCACAGTGATGCAGCATTTGCTAATAGGGGAAATCATACTCAGGCTGGATATATCATTGGATTCACTCACGCATCCCTGCAAGACGGATTGGAATCAACCTGGTGTCCAGCATCATGGAAGAGTTATAAACTCCCTAGAGCAGTGAGCAGTACCATGTCAGCCGAGAGTCAAGCACTTGCCACGGCCACTGGGACCACCGAATGGCTACTTTTGATGTTGGCTGAGATTTTTGACGGCCCGCTGACAATGCGATCCTGTCGAGACGTGCTGAAAAGACGCCGACCGATCATCGTGACAGATTGCAAGAGCCTGTACGATCACTTGCATTCTCCTTCTGCCCCCACATCAATCGATGACCGCCGAACCAGTATAGATGTGGTAATAATCCGAGAGAGCTGTAGGGCCATGAATGCTTTTGTGCGGTGGGTACCCACAAATCGAATGCTCGCTGATGCACTCACCAAAAACGATGGAGATCCAATAGACTTGCTTAGATCTTGTATGAAGCGATCTTCATATCAAATCTCGCCTGAAGAAACTGTATTGAAGCATCAAGCACAAGAAAAGGAGTTTCGTAAGAATCTTCAGGCAAACTGTGCCGCTCCGTCGCCTCCAAGCCGGATAGGGGAAGAGACAGATCATGAGTGATCTGCATTTTTGGGGTTTAGGGTTCGCATTGATTGTTTGGGAAGTCACTGTGATCAGTGAAGGGAATCAATGTTCTTTTTGCCGGCTTCGACCTTAGAATACAGCAGGTTGTGTCTGTGGCCATTTTGCATCCAGAGTTTCAGTGTTCGTATCACGCCGTCTCACGACTAGACCGGGTGTTGTGTTTTGCAGTTTCCTCCCGACCTAGACATGGCCGGTGCTCCAGCTCAGTTGTCCACAGTGGCTAAGGAGCTCTTGACTAAGGTGAAGGAAGAAGGTTCGGTCCATCTGTTGCTGAACGCTTTGATGGAGCGCGAAACCAGTGAATTTGAGTTTGTGCCCTCTGCTGGATACAGCCTGGACAGTGGTGCCATGAATGACTCGTCCAAGCGTCGCCTGACCGCTGACTCGAGTCAGGCCCCACATGTGCATTCCCAGAGGCCGATCGTGAAGATGAGCTCCCAGGACCAGGGATCGATTCCTCTCCCCAAGGGCATCACCTCGATGGACCATTGGGGTAAGACCTTGATCACTTCAGGAAAGCTGTCTAAGCAGAACCTCAGCTATGAAGACCTTGCAAGTTCACCTGAGACGGATTTGGTGAACTACAGTCGATGGCTCATGGCGCAGAAAGACCGCACCAACATGTCGCCACCCATCAAGGACCTCATTGCCTACTTGCTGGCTTACACGGAGTTGGCTGAGGGGTCGACTGAACGATTCCCAGACAGCACGATCCCACGGAAGTTCAAGAGTTGAACTGCCGACGATTTGAGCTGGACATGAGATGGCTGCATAGCTTCATGTGCTCCTACATCCAAAGATTATTATGAAGGCGGAGAATGTACCCGTAGGAGCCATTTTTGGAATTTGAAGATTTAAGACCAGTCATTTTGTCCACCCGTGACATGTCGTGACCCCGGAGGGACCTTCGGCTTGAGGAAAGAAGAGCCCGCTCGGCGCCCCGCGGTTGGGGCGGACACTCCGCAATATATATACATACACACATTCAGTTGGCAAGTGTACATACCAAATATCCTTACCAAAATCATGTTGGACTGGACGGGAGCAGAAACAAGTGAGACTTCCAAAACTTCGAAGGGTTCGGATTACATCAAATATGCAATGGATCAGAACTAGAGTATCGGAGAACCATCGAGAACCCCCACTAACGAAAGCACTTTCCCTGGTCCCCCCGGAAACCCAAATGAGTAATTAGGTCGAGGCCGCGAGGGTTCCTTTAAAAAAACCTTCACGGGAGCAGCAACCCACTCAATCTCAGCCCTTCACGTCAACGACGTTCTCCACCTCTGCACCAGCACTGCCAGCCTGTTTCTGTTCGCTGGAATACGCCAAACTGTGATCAGTGTCATGTTGGAAGGCTGAATTGTTTGATGGACTGCGCTGCATGCAGTCTGCGCACCTTCTGTACAGCGCTACTAACGACCTCAGCTGTGCAGCAAAGAGATTGGGTTGTGCAGACACCACCGTACCCCTGGACGCGAGAATAGCAAATGTTGAGTCTCTCACAGACTGGGCTCGCTCGCCAAACTTGGGGATGATGTGGCCAGATGCCTCAGCTCTGCCAGCTTCTTCCTCTTCTAGTTTCCATCTTCTCAACAACATCAAGCTTGGTCAGCACTTCAGCTGAAAGGGTTTACTCTGGTGGACTTCTGGAAGGCCCTGTGAATCAAAATGTTCGTGATGGCTTTTCACCTACCACTTCCTTTTGAGACAACATGCTTGGCAAGAGCCTAAACTCAGGACGTCCTCTCACCGTACCTATTTCAAAGTGTGAAGTATTCTTCCTATCAAGTACCCAATATCCACCATCAGCACATGCCATCACTGGGCTGAAACTCTGGGCACCACGACCACCTCTTCCCTGAGGGGTTGCAAGGAAGCTTCCACAGAGCCTGATCAGGGTTTGAAGCCAAAACCCGCCAACTTAAGTCGTAACCCTGCCGGAAGAGAGGATATTGGGCCCTTATGACATTATTCTAGCACAAGCGCAAGTCTCTATGTTGTAGCCTTGACTATATATCTCATTGGATGATTTGGAAGACTGGGTCATTTCCTGCGGAAACCAGAGTTTCAACTTATCAGGTCAAGAATGGGTTTGAGGTCTATGTTCAGGCTGTGCTGGGCAAATGTCGACAAGACTGGAGACTAGTTGATGCAAGCAGCACCACATCGCGAAGCAAAAGGAATAAGTATTTTTTGACATGCCAAGCATTGTTGTGTCTAAGCTTGCAACATGTTGTGCCACGACTCGTTGGTAAAATGAAGAGAACACTGTACAAGGTTCGCACACAACTGACTACACAGCCAAGAATGAACAAGACCAAATGCCACGGTAGCTGAGACGAAGTTGCCAGGCACGAGCACCGAGGCGAAAAAAATATGTCATAACACACAGAGCCAAACGTGGTCAGCAACAGTCAAGAACCCACAAAGAGCCAGGTATGAAGCGCAAACAAAAGAGGCTGCACAAGACAATTTCGACCAAATGAATGGTATTGCGCGTGGTAGACAAGATTTCAGCGAACCAAACATTTGAATTAAGCACAGCTGATAGAGAGGAAGCACGCTGGGGACCAAGATGGCTGCAAGCAGTAGTCAGCAAAGGCATCTTTCTTGCTTTGGAAACCACACGACCTGTGCGAGCTTCTTGCACTGGAACAAACTCAACTCAGCCACCCCCTGACTCCAGACACGCGCTACGGAAAGCCTCTGCATTGCATGACACCTACCATTTGTTTCTTCCAGGCATTGCGACAAAGCAAAGCAGCGACGATCGCCTAAGTTGGTGAGCTCAAAGAAAGGGAGGTTGTGATTGTATCAACTCGTATCCTGTAAAGGTTGCATGTAGACTCCCGCATCTCCGAAAGCAGATTTGCATATTGATATTGGACAAGATTGACAAGCCAAGCGTGAAAGCACCTGGAGCTACGCAAAAAAAGAAAATAGAACGTAGCGACGTAGCGACAAACTGCAGTCCTTAACATGTCAGACATTAAGTGGACCCAAGATCGGGTCCCGAAAACACAACCAATTCCCACAGACCCACCACTCTGCGACATTGAAGGATAGTCCAAACTTATTGACAGATTGTCCACAGTTACAAAGAACATCTATGTTCAAAAAGGCAGTATATAACAATATATATATATACAATTCTCACAATATGCAACAAATAGTCAAACGTAAATAAGAAATTGAGGTGTCACAGTGTGATCCTGAATGAGGGTTGCGAACACTCCCAAGGGCGCCATGAATTGGTATGCGATATGTGCAACCTCTCCGAAACACAGGTTCCAGTTTAGACCTCTGAAAGAAGAGGCGCGCACGTTGGATCGGCATTTCTGTGGATATTGACCTCTTCAGGTATACGGCATCCTTTTCGATAAGGCTGTCAATTTGGACTGCTTGCAAAAATGTCAGCAAGGCAGTAACCGCGAGCATGCACACAAACTGCACGCAGGCCACAGAGAGAGAGACCAGCTCTCAGGCTGAACTGACTCGTAAATCACGCGACAAAACTGAGGAGGTAGATCCTCTGCTCTATCTCGATTGCTTCCTGTTTACAGGATTCCCAGCAAATGGCGAATGCAGCAAAATTAAGGTATCGTCTCTTATGGTGAGAGTTCTGGAATGCTTATCCCCGGCAGGGAGAAGCTTCCTGAAAGACACTAGAAAAGCTCCAAGCTGGTCTTGCTTGGATCCCTACCTAGGAGCTGGTCCATCGCACCCATTTCAGCCTTGGAGCGGCACGCAAAGTGACCCAACTCACTTTCATACTTGTAAACCTCTAAAGATTCGTGCATATCTGTGAGCTTTCAAGGGTTGGAACAATGTACGTTTAGTTCCTACGCTCAAGATTTGGTTTGACTCAATTCTCCAAATCCTCACATTCTTGAGGGTCATTCTCTTGACTTCCCAAAGCTGCTTTACATGTACAAAATGTTGTCAGCCTGGCACTGATTTTTGGTAAGACCGTTCATTCTGCCCCAGCCTGCTCATTGTCAGTCGGCTCCGATCCTTGTACGGAGGTGACACTCAGCCTGGACAATGCAATTGCAAGTGGATTGGAACGGCATGGAGACTCTACCAAACAGCTTCTGCTCACATCTGCATGCAAGCTACAGTATATCCTGCTCTCTGATCTTTCAGCCATGGCAAAGGAAACTTAGGATTCTAAAATAAGGAACATCAACCACTCATACCTTCACAATCTGATTGGCTGCAACAGGATGCGTAAGTAAAAGTAGACCCTATGCCTCTGGCAGTCGCAGGCACCAATTGTTTTAAACGTCAGATCGCAGAATCACATCCCCTATGGACCTGCACGGCACTGCTAATGTGCACACCTCAGTTGGTGAAACTCTCTGAGTTTACATTGAAACTTCCCACAGTCTCGACTTGTCTGCACTATCCTTGTTTCAAGGCTTGGAGCCGTCCTTCAGGATAAAACTTCTGAAAAAACTCTGTACCCGAAGGGTTCTTCCAGATACAACCTAATTATGATTCCAACAATATGTGGAGCAACAACTAGTTAATTTTGGAGAAAAAACATGCAATGTAAAGCGCACCTGCTGTCAAACACGAGGAATGATAAGGAAACGGTATCGTGCAACGTTATGGGATGATGACACAAATTCGTTAACTGTGCTTCACTTCAGGCTGCTTCCTCCAACCATAGAAAGAATTACACTCAGCTGAGAACTGCAGCCGCGACCTCATGCATAGGTGTTTGAACTGGCTAATCAAGTCGTTCTCCGTACAAACACAGAAATGTACACCCAAAAATACATTATTCTACTGCTGTGGCTTCAGATTTGCACCGCAAGAAAAAAAATAATTCCTACACATTGTTGATCATAGCATTAAGTCGCCAACAGCAAGCCACCAGCCTTGCTGGCGCCTTGCCATGCTAAGTGACCTCAGTACGGAAATACATTCCACGCCATTGAAGCAGAGGTTTGGGCAGCCAAGCTGATTCAACGAAGGTCTGGAACAGTTGAAAGACAAACGTGAGCGGATACTTACGACAAAAACATGCCCTTGAAAGTCACACTTCTCTCTCCGTTGCGTCCGGCCCCACACTCAAAAATTGACAAATGCCATCCAAGCAACCTTCTGCGGTAGCCCTTTGCCCACCGCCACTCAATGCTGAAAAAAATGCCCGTTGTGGCCGCTTATGAAAGTGGCGCACTGGAAGTCAATGCGGACCTGTACACGAACCAACCTACAGTAACTTCAACCGACTCAATGGACTGCGTAGAAAAGCAAAACTGCCAGGTCGAAAGGGGCACGAAAACAAAACACGTCACTCAAGAAAGAATCCATCAACGGTTTGACAACTTCCCACCGGCTGCTAAAGACTGAGTTTCAGTTTCATATCATGCTTCACGAAAAGCGGCCTTTGTTTTCTTGAGCCAAACACGAAGGCAGTTAAGCCTGTGGTCTAGTGTACCTAGTTGTACACTTCTCGTTTTGTGCGTTCTGTTTCAAGATCCGCACTCCCCCCGACCACTGTTGGTCGCTCACATCTGCCGTGATCCGTTTTGGATCAAAAACAGCGAAAATCCGACCCACGATCCGGGGCCGGTCCACGATGACACGTCGATGCCATTCCGTGCCCTTCCATGCGATGGTGATTCGCATGAACTCCAAGTTCTCAATCTCCTCCGGGCAGCTGCGGTGTTCTGGATGGAACCTCTGCACCCGCGCACCTCCATGGTGACGGACCAGCCACCTGCAGCCATCCATGGTCAGGTGATCCCACCTGTCGCTCTTGAGCGTTGGCTTGTAGAACAACGCTTCTTCCTCCAAAAGATCTTGCACATGGTTCAAGATCTCCGGTGTCCAAAACACCGAGTTTTGGAACTCCAATTGATCATCCATCAAGCCCCCAACCGGCATCAGGAGTTGCGCCGGTGGAGACTTGCCAGGTCTGTTCCACGGCCTGTCGGCCGCCGGCTGCTGCATTCGCTCCAGCGTAGGAGGTCCCGTAGAGCCCGAACTCCTCGCCGCGGCTGCCGACTTGGAAACTCCTTGGAGAATGGTTCCCGCAGCCTTTGAAGTGTACCCCATAGCGGTCCCCATCGCCTTCGAAGATGCCATCGCCGCCTGTCTTCGCTCAGCAGCTTCACTTGGCCTTGAAGAACCACTCGATGTAGCCCCCCCCATAACCACGCGGTTGAAAGGGTACAGGAGGTTGTTTGGGAGGTGGCACCGGAGGCCGCTTTGCCGGCGGCGGAGACTTCACCACCAGCCGCTCATTTGGGATGAGGCGAATCGTCTGGGTCTCCATGTCCACCTCTTACGCAGCGTCCGGATGCCCTCACTGGTGACCACCATCGGTGGTCTTGTCATGTCGTAGAGGCCCGCGTCCATGGCCTCTTGCGTCACCCTGGTGTTGGTGTAGTGCACCTCTTCCGGCTGCCCTTGATCTCCTCCAAGCCATTCACGCCCACCTCGGGAGACAGCAGGCAGCCTCATCTGGATGCGTCCCCACACGCCATGGCTCGCGTTCGCCGCCTCCACCTCGAACACAGTGGAGTTGGGAGCCTCTAGGCTACGGTTGAAACCCCCAGGGCCGTCAGTTTCCGAGACACGTTCCCCTGGAAGTGGCGTGCGGCCCGACGCCGATGGGTTTCTGGCCTCTTGAACATTTCTTATGTTTTCTTGACTGGTCCGTTGTTCTGACCCCTGTTGGTCTTGTTCTTCCCTTGCCGGCGAAGGCCGCAGGGCACACAAACGAGGTTGCAGCCGGGTGGGGTGTTCAGTAGATCTCAATTCTTGTTGAATTTCCCTATCTGACATGGTTGAACACTCCCCCGGATCTTGGCTCCTCGTCCAAAAACCCTTGCTAAAACCCCGGCTCACTTCATAGGCCAGCCCAATCGCAAGCGCCGCCGCCACCGCTGCCTTTGCAGTGTGGGAAGGCCAGGTCATAGCCGCGCACCCAGCCAAACACGCAGCAAGCTTTGCCACCCGCACCATGGATTCCACCGCGTCCTGCGAACCCTCCCCATCATCAGCAGCCACCCCACCCTGGTTCTCGACCTTCAGGAGGTTGGTGAACGCCCGGAAGCGGTCCCAGGAAGCTCAAACCGTGATGCTCTTGGTCAGGTAGTCGGCGATCAGCTGCGTGCCCGCCATGTGGAAGATCTTCCATCGCCCCTGTTGAGCTCGTCCTCGAAGCACGTTAGCTCGGAGTCGAAGATGCCTGGTACGCCATGGACCATCAGGATTGCGCACGATGGAGATGGCAGCCTGACTGTCGCCATAGGTGACGATCTCCGGCGTCTCTCCACGCACCTCCGTCCACAGCGCCTGCAGCGAATCCCCCATAGTTAAGGCCTCCACATAGGAGTACAGCTCAGCTTCCGCCGTTGACAATGCCAGACACGATTGCCTGGAAGTTTCCCACTGCAGAGTGGCGCCCGCAATCATCGCCACGATGCCTTGCACACTTTTCTCCCCTTGCGGGGCATACGAGATGTCACTGAAGAGCTCCACCAACGATGTAGAGCGCTCCAGAGGAAGATCACCAAGTCCACACAGAACATAGTGCAGGAAGTAGTCCATCGTGCCATTCAGGTACTCCAGAACATGTTGTCCCACCCGAAGCAATCATGTCGGCCGTTTCACGTGATACCGATTCAGCAGCCAACATGCATGAACCAAGGCCCATGACTGCAACACGTGTTGTTCATCAAACACGATTTTGGCTCGGTCTTGGACATGCGAAATGATTGTTTTCGCTTGGGCTCTGACCGTCTGGATATACCTTTCTGCCAGTGAAGTACGAGACTTGTCATAGAACTTTCCAGCTTGCAAGATCGTGTGTAGCCCATTGTTGCTCCTGATGAGCTTCGTCATCCTTGCCCCTGCGGCAAGAACAGGCTCATTGTCGAATGCAAGCTCGACCGTCTCGTAGTGGCCTAGACCTCCCAAGAACTCTGCAATGATCTCACCAATCACACCCTGATTCTTATTCTTCAGGGGTTGGAGACGGTTTCCTCCGCAACGTCCTTCTCCGCCACGTCATCCTCCGCCATCGCGTTGAAGTCCGGGGCCAATGCCACCGCGATCATAGCATAGCGAACAACCCGCCCTGAGGCGCCATCCCTTGTCATAGATAGCGGGCCCACGATGTCCACCGCCACTGACCACGCCGATGACATTCTTTGGGTGTCTCCTCGACGTCGATGCGGCTTTTGGGTTCCTGCCTGCTCAATGCGAAGTCTGCAGTCCCTGCGAAAGGGTCGACGGCCTTGGCGAAAGTGTGTCGCCCACATGTCCTTTTCCTTTTGCGATAGCTTGGCAATCCTTCGTTGTTGCGTTGCACCCTGCTCCAACAGGCATCGGAGGGACTCCTTAATTGCAGCTCTCAATCCCGGAGCCCACAAAGACCAAGACTTTGATGCCTGAATGCTGGCTTGTAGGTCACCAGGAAGGGGTTCATCATCACCTCGTGCTCGAAGTCCATGTAGTTCCATCATCCCCGGCATGTTGGTGAGCAGCGATGTTGGTTGCTTTTTGGAGTGCCCCACGGCACCATGATCCAGGGTGACCACCCATGGACTCCTCCTCCAACAAACCCAAAACTTCCGGCCAACTCCAGAAGGACGGCATTCGTCCACCATCCCCCACCATCTTGGCCGGGTCCGCCGCAGACTCCAAGAGGAAACCCGTAGTGCCCTTTGGTCCACCCAACTCCACCTTGGCTTCTTCCGTGGCCAGATAGAGTCCAACCTGCTTGATGACGAGGGCCGCGTCGTGGTCCGCCAACCGCTGCTTTGGAACGCTGAGGTTCGGTAATCCAAAACGATGTGCTCCTCGATCTCGAAGTGGCCTTGGACCTGGTCGCCTAAATCGCAGTCTCGACACTGTCCGGCACGGGGGCCCGCCTATGATGGCTGCCAAAGTTCCTTGCCTGGCCAGGCGCATCAAGAAAGCCCACAACACCGGGTTGTGCAGGTCCTGCGACTTATTGTGCATGATGTCCAAGGTGATGACCTCGCAGTCATACTTGTTGAGCTCCTCCCATTCATCGGCCTTTTCCCCCGCGAAGAGATGAAGCACCACACGTTTAGCCGCCAGCAACCGTCGTCGCTGCCGTCGATTCCATGGAAGACCACCACCACCAAAATCGTGCTCCTCCGTCATGTACCGGAAGATCCTGGCAGGAACCTCGGGGAAGCGTTGGTTCCACCACGTCAGCAGCTCCTCCTCCAAGTTCTCCTCCCGGTAGACATCATCATGTTTTTTCCTCTCCACCTCCTCGATCTCCCGGATGAGCAGCAGGGCATCTTCCTCCAGCACCACGGGACAACCTTCATGAAGGCGGGAAACGATCTTCCCCTTGCGGGGGTGCTCCACAGCACAACCACTTCTGGACCACACCATCTTGTAGCCTAGCTCAATCAACCCTCGGACCGGCACGATGGGCTCCACCGCGTCGGCCGACAACAACGTACCCGTCAGCGGGTCTTGATGCAGCATGATTGAGCCATGTGCCAACTCCACATGAACCCTCTCAGCCTTTTCCAGTTCACCAGGTAGAGCTTGACGAAGGGGGTGAGTTGCACCACCATCCAAAAGCCCCAGCGCGGTGCCCGCGTCCAAGTTGCCACCCACGTCCATGAACTTGAGCTTGATGGCCTTGACCTTGGCGCTCCGCAATGACTTCAACAAAGCCGACGCCTCCCCCATCAGAGTGTCGATGGAGTCCGACTTGTTCGGCATGGGACCCCCCCTGCAGCTCCGGAACCGGCTTCCGCCTCAGTCTTTTTCCCCGAAGCTCCAGTGGCCTCTTCAACCTTCACTTTGGGTGGATCCCTTTCCGGTGAGGAAGGCTGTGAATCCCCCCCCCTGCACCTTGGCCACCTTGACATTCTCCTCCTTCCCGAACCACGCCGCGTGTGGTTGAGGCCGGAACAGAAGAAGCACCGATTCTCTTTTGGGCTAAGGGCGCCATGCTTGAACTTGCATCGATCACCTCGTCGACAGCCCTTATCCGACAACCAAAAGCGACAGTCGCCCTTGAACTCCACCCCAGCGGCCTTGGACTCCTGCGCATTCCCCGTCGCCGAAGTCGCCGTCGTTGATGAAGCCCCCAAAGCTGCTGCCTTCACAAACGGAACGGTC